GTCAGTCCATGTTATTATTGTGTGTTTGAGGGTACAGTTGTCCATTGTGGGTGTGTGTATGTTCAGTCCATGAGTTAACGTGGGTCAGATGTCAGGAGGCAGAGTTCAGGAGTCTGACAGCTGTGGGGAAGAAGCTGTTCCGGTACCTGGTGGTCTTAGTCCGGAGGCTCCTGTAGCGCCTCCCAGAGGGCAGGAGGGTGAAGAGTCCATGTGATGGGTGACTGGGGTCTTTGATGATTTTCCCAGCCCTTTTCAGACACTGCTTCCTGTAGTATTAGCAAAACTGGAACAAAAGGAGAGACGATTGAAGAACTACAGCCTTGAAATGATGCATCTAGTTGCTTCAGCTCCTTTTATTATGTAGACATGTAGTTAATAAATGTGCATCTGGACTCTAACAGTTTGAAAGGATTTCCAAAGATATGATGGAAAAGTGAAAAGCACTATTTTTCCTCAGAGAGACAGCTAAAGTTTTTAAAAGTGTTTCAAATGACTCTTTGCGGTCCTGTGGGGGGAAAAAAAAAAAGTACTACTGGTGTAGTTAGTTTGTACCTTTAGCAGCAATAAGTCAAAGTAATCCATTTCTGTGTGTTAGCCCTTTCTTCTTTACAGTGTTTCTTCAGTTCATTGGGGTTTGTGTTCCTTTGCTTTATCACTTGTGCTGCTGCTGTTATCCAAAGTGCTTTCATTGCAGCTCAAATTGACTGCCAGTCCTGCTGCATCAGGCACTGAACTGTCTTATCACACCATAACTATGAAAACGGGTTATAATGATTGACAGGGACTTGGCTGCCTGTCACATGTTACAGTGATAACTATGAAGTACTAAAATGGACAAAATCAAACGCAAATGAATAAATGGTTTATTAAATAAATTAATATACCATTATACAATACAACAAGTACTTTAAAATACTTTTTGCATGAATTAGCACACTAGTTTGCCTGCCAAATTAAGTTTCTCTGTTTTTATTATTAGTGTTCTTTTTAAAATGTTTATTTATGTATGTAGGTATTAATCTATTTATGTTGATGAATTTTTTAAAATTCACGTTAGTTTCACCAAAGTAATTTCTGTTTTTTCTTTTGGAATTACTTTATAAGTGAACTAAGCGTGGAGTGGGATTACCTTTTGTAAGTAAATGTGTAAATAAGACTTATGCAAATGAAAGCGCTTATTTTCATAATGAAGCAGAAATGCATTCAAGAAAGTTACAAAACCTGATGAGGTTTTCTATAGTGGTTCAAGTAAAGGTCATCTGGGGATACTTAAATGTTAAAACAGCTGCCACTTTGTTGCAGCTTTACCTCTATAATAGTAAAAAGTCCTCTTCAAACCACGAACAGAGCCAGAGATTTGCTGAGGTTACTCATTCTTCCTTTTACTTCCTTTTACTGCAGTAACCGCTTGCACATTCATATACGTTCAGGTCCACCCCCATACAGTTTGAAGCATATAATAAAGAACATTGCCTTTAATAAAATCTGAATTAAAATGTCTTCTGTTTTTAAAAACAACAACAACCTAGAATCGTGTCAATTAGTAACTGCCTAGATTTACCACTTCAAAGTTTTCAGTTACGTTTTGCTGACTTGTTGATGTTAGTTCCTCCTTTTCTGTAATGTCTGGGCCACTTTTCTGCAAAGCTGCCTGTCAGTAACTTTCCAGCAGGACTATTGCATCACATCCTCATATTTAAAGGTTCTTTGAAAATATGATCTTCTACATATAAGGAAAAAAATCAAATCAGCCACAGACACATATTCCTAATTGATTTATTTTTCCCCAGACCTGGTAAATATGACTTTTAGATCTCTAGCTTCGTAAAGTAATGACAGCCCACTATGTTAGTGTGTTGCAGAGTTTGTTTGTCAGTCATCAAAACGTCACAGGGGTCACATGAGACGCCATTTCCCATAGAGACAAGACCTGAAGAGTTCAAGGTTCAGAGCCTTACCGGAGCCCTTTTTTCTTGTGTGTGTGTGTGCGTGTGTGCGTGTGTGTGTGCGTGTGTGCGTGTGTGCGTGTGTGTGTGTGTGTGTGTGTGTGTGGTGTGCGGCGGCACTGGTGTGTGATCAGTCTGGTTGGTTCTCAGGACGCACACTCGAACACACAGCGAGTGCTGAACTCAGCATGACGTCCCTTGCTGGAAACCAGCAGTGTTGCTCTGGGGGAGTCTTCGTGTTGTTAACCCAGTTTCTGGGAAGCATTGGATGTTTTCTTTGGCTTTTGGTATGGATGTGTAGCCGGGATGCTAGTGTGTTTCTTTGCTCTTTGATGGAACATGTTTGGCTCAGTGCTTTGAAGGTTGTCTTTGTAACGTGTGCATTTGTTCTTTTGTTTTTTTAGAGTGGCTGAGTGGTCAGCATACCTTTTTAGAGATATCCATTTCCATTTGGTTGTGAACCATATATCCATTTTCACCAGGGATGCACCAGTTAGAAACCTGGGTGTTCGTTTTGCTGAAGCTTTTTCTTTGGAGGGACATTGGAGCGTTTTTCACTTGAGGAACATTTCAAAACATAGATCCATCGTGTCAACAAGTGAACTCGAGATGATAATACATGCTTTTGTCTCTACAAGACTTGACTACTGTAACAGCCTGTTTACTTGTCTAAACAAGAAAGGGCTAGCTCGTCTACAGGTTGTTTTCATCCATCCATCCTCCATCCATCATCCATCCATCCATCATCCATCCATCCATCCATCCATCCATCCATCCATCCATCCATCCATCCATCCATCCATCCATCCATCCATCTGGACATTCAACAGTGGCAACAGGTGTGATGAAGTCCAAATTTAGGTTTTGGCTCAAATATTGTTTTCAGCTAATAGCTTTTTTTGCCTGTCAAGCTACTTTTTCATAGAGTCAGCTAAAGATGTGATTTAAAATATATAATTTTTGCCTAGTCTGTTATAGGGTTGGGCGATTGGAGGAATATATCGACTATCAACGATATCATCAATAGTTTTTAAAAGGGCAATTTATTTATTTATTTGCCCATGAGTAAGTTTGCTAATAATGATAGAGCTAATAGAAGCTGTCAACAAAGGGAAAAAAAATGCCGTTTTAATAGCACCCTCTTTCATCTGCGAGTAAATGCACCCTCGTCAGAGTGCGCCCAAATGCTTGTTGATGGAGCTGCAGAAGCTGGTGATAGCCTAGCACAGCGGTCCCCAACCTTTTATGCGCCACGGACCAGTTTATGCACGACAATATTTTCACGGACCGGCCTTTAAGGTGTCGCGGATAAATACAACAATATAAAACTAGTACCGGTACCGAAAAAAAGATTTATTCATAACACACGTGAAAAGACCCAGGAAAACACAGTTAACGGTAAAAACGATAACAAAATAACGCTGAAAACCGATAAAAACCCTGAAAGCCATACATTTCACACCTGAGCCTCAACTCTCGCGGCCCGGTACCAAACGACTCACGTACTGGTCCGAGGCCCGGGGGTTGGGGACCGCTGGCCTAGCATACTCAGCCAGATGGTGGACGCGTATATGCCCATGCAAGTTAGTCATGTTTGAGTACTTTTCTCGCACTATACATCTGCACAAGCGGCACACCGCTTTGATTACATCCTTAGGTTTACCTCTTTCATCTGGTTTAAAGCCAAAGAAATCCCAACTTGGCAACTTTACATGTTTTTAGTGCTGTCAGCGTTAACGCGACATCATCACGACAATGCGATTACCAATTAACGCATCTGGAGCGTAGACTGAGTCAAAATCCCTGAAACATCTCTGTCAATGCATTTCGGCCAGTTTATCCAAAGTTCCAGATGGGTTGAGCGCTTTAAAATTTTTAATCGTGATGAGCGCGTTTAAGCCCCGTTAACGCTGACAGGGTTTTTTTTGGGGGGGGATTTGTTCGGCCGTGTTTGAACTTCTTCTGTGTGGTAAACCCGCAAATCAGTCCGTGCATGATTACATTGTTCTGCCCATCAAAAAGCCTGTCTCGACTGATGATGGCCAGTTGGAAAATTTTTACATATCGCCCAACCCTAGTGTGTTATGTGTAGACACAACAATGGTCTGGACTGGACTGCAAATGAGTAAAAAAGCAAACAAATGTCCAAAGAAAAAATCAGAAAGACCTTTAGAAAGCCTGAATTTTCAGTGTGGTTGAACCATATCTACTGTAAATACTGTGTATCTCATAGAAATGTGATGGCTGTGTGTAGCAGTGAGATAACTGAATTCTCCTGAGTTCACAGCATTGTTTGCATCACTCGCTTTTAGTTCAGCGTCTCTTAATAGGGTTAAATTGCAGTTAAAGTCCACGGTTAAGGCTATAAAAGTGTTAACTGGTAGTAATTCATTCGTTCGTTTAGTCGACTTTTATCCCCCCTTTTTAAAAGCACTCCGTCTGAGGTAGAAAAGAGCTTTTTAAATTTCAAATTTCTTTCACGGCTTTTGTTTTGCCTGTAGGTCAGCTGTGCTTATCAGAGCACGAGCTGTTCGGCAATTGATATTCAAGAGGACTGCGTTCACAGAATGAATGGAGAGTAAATGTAACTCACAGCCTGACCCTGTTTCACAGCACTGTGTACCACACAACCTTTCTTCCTGTCAGCTATCAGGGTCCCGCAGCATTCAGGAGGTGAAAGATCTTGTAAACACACGTGATCTCATTTTTACGCAGTAATCTGCCTTCGTCAAGCAGCTACAGCTCACAAACCTTTAAAAACAGCTCAGCAAGTCATTAAAGACTTCCCAGGCAGATTAGCCAGTCATTCACTTCCTTCAACAGCCTTCGGGGCGCTCTGTTGGAGTCCAAAGGAGGGACTGTGGGCAGTTTTCAGTCTGAGTAGTAGCACCGATTGTGGATTTTAAGTTTTGGGAGTTTGAGGGGGGGCTGAGGAGAGATGCACTGGGAGTTCTGGACTAAGAAGCTGGATGAGGAGGATTTGATTGAGAATGGTGAGTTTGTGTCACTGAGAGTGTTTTCCTTTCAGCTCAGATTTTCTTTTTCTTTTCACTGCCAGTGCACTCTGCTCTCACGCTGTCATAAACAAGAAGTGTGCTTTAACAGAGCCGAGAGTTAAATAGTTTCAGCACAATCACTGCAACTACTCGGCAGTCATGTTCAGTGTTTTATCTACTGTCTTCTTTTATACACCAACTGTTTAAATTTGCACTAAATCTTAAAACCTCGACTTTGCTTTGCTTTGTTTTTCTGCTGACATCTTGAACTTTATGGCACCAGAGTTTAATTATTAAGATCATTTACGACCCATCATGCAGTGAGTCATGTGGTTGGCGTGCTGGTGTGTATGTCACTGTAATTGATACAAGACGCAGCCCAAACAATGGTCATGTCTCGGTGTGTGACTGTTTAAGGTCTTTTACACTCTGAAACATCTGTTTCAGAGTGTGTGAATAAGTGTGTGTTTGTATTATTGGGTGTCTCTGTCACTTTCATGCCTTCTTTTGGTCTGTTTGAATATCGCGTGTTTCGTCAGTTTTTGGTAATCAGGATCAAGATAGGATTGGATAAATTAGGACGTTTCTGTTTTACAGCATCCAAAACGTACAAAAGTACAACATGTACAATAATGGCTTAAACGAAGCAGAGTAAATGTGTAGTGCAATAAAATGACACAAACTACAAAATGACAAAAATGTCAATAAAATAAAAACTACACAGCACAAAGGCACTCAATTAAATACAAAAAATAAGGTAACAATAAATTAAAGGAGTTCAGTAACTAAAATGTAAATAAAATGCAATAAAACACTTTATCATTACAGAAGATGATATGAAAATCTATAAAAATGTAAATAAAATGTTAAATAATAAAAATGCATTTTAGATAGATGAAAATTTGAATATAAAACAGCATGACTGTCAAATCTAAATAAAATGGATATGGATCTCAAGGAAAAATAAATAAAAATATAAATAAAATATTAAGTAAAGATAAAAAAAAGTACATAAATAAAAAAATATAAAAATGTTGAAATCTAAATAAAATACAGTAAATGCAGTAAATAATTAAATATGATGGCTATTGTATGTTGAATAACTTATCTAAAAAACTAAATGTAATACAACACAGGCGTATTGCAAAGCAAATAGAAATGAGGTGTAAATGCAGTAAGAGTGTGTTTAATGGGGCTTCTGCTGCTTTTTCTTCTTCAGGACTTTGTTTTACAATCTGAATAAAACTGTTGGTGCTGTCAGTGCACATGGAGAAAGGAACAAAACCAAAATGTCTTCACACAGAAACAAATTGTTAACATTTCAGCCTGGGAGAGATCTGAGGATTAGGGCGAGGCCCTGGTTTGCACCACAGTTTGTGTCCAAGGCTGAACACAAGCAGAACAAAGCATAACACACTTCATGATTTTGAAAGTGTGAACTGTCAACAAAGTTGTTTTCTTTATTCTGAGATTTTTTTTTTTTCACCCAATCACTGTGCCAGGAAAGGAAAACAATTTAACACAGATGTTGCATTTCCACATCGTGTGAAGGACTCCGAGATGGACTTGGAAGCAGGGCGTTGAGCACAATATGACCAAGAACATTTTTCCAGTTATTTATGTTTTGTTTTCACATTAGCAGACCATCACTATCAGGGTCATGGAGGCCTGCAGCCTGTTCCTGTACACAGTGTGCAGTATGGCTAATAAATGGCACGAGGGCGGTACGATAAACCTTGAACTTGTTGTTGTTTTTTTAAAGATGAGTGATTATTACCACAGGTATCTCACAGGCTTCATTACCCTCAGCTGCCCTCTAACGTCGCAGAAAGGGATGTTTTGCATAACTTGAGACAGTGATGTCTGTATCAGCGTTGTCAAACATAAGCCTCGGGGACCAGAATCGGCTTGTAAAGACTCTAATCCGGCCCACTGGACAGCTTTGGATAATGTAACAGAGGGCCTTCATTTTGGACTTTTAAGTGGATTTTCATAGCTTTTAGTGTTTCCTACTGATAAAGACCTCCATTGCCAGTCATACTACAGTAGTGCTGTAAATGTGCCAGTGAGCAAGGCATTTTGACACCTGCAAGAAGGATTCTTGTCAGGAGTTTATATAAGTTTACAAACGGGGTCTCAAACCAGGCTTCTGGTGATTGGGCAAAACGATCCAGGTTAATACTTAACGACGTAGCTGTGGCTACAACTTTGCCTCTGCATGACAAACTGTGCCTTCTTTTTCCCCTTTATTAATTCACTCACCCATACCGGTGTTCCTCTAAACCATGCTGATGCAAATATCAACAGATCAGTTCTGTTAATTCACCCTGTAAAACCAGTCTAACCTGTCAGCTCGGGTGTGTAGAATGTCCCTTTTGTGTTGTCGCATAATAACATTCTGCTGCTGTAGTGTTACAAAACGCAGAAATGTGACGTAATCCTAAATCAGACCAGCCGTGGCTTCCTGATCACACATCAGAATCACAAGCTGGAATTTCACCACACTGCACTCCATGATCACCTGAGGAGAGCCATCTTCCTAACACTAATGTAAGTTCATGCGTACTGTGGGTTTTCCCCCCCTTAGTTCTCAGGGGTAGTTCTCTCCTCTGCTTTCCCAGTCATTACAATTATATTGTGCTCTGCATTAATACTCAAGTGAAAACACTTTTAATTTCAGCTCAGGCCATTGTTTTGGGCTCATGATAACACAGTTCCTCACTGCGTAAAGCTGAAGGTCTCCCTGCGTTGTTTCCTGTTTCCGTTTGGATCAGTTTTTGATTGGTTGCTGCTGTCTGGATATGATTGCCTGTAGCGCCGACGCTGCCACGTACTCAGGCTCTTTTGTTCTGGAGCTGCTTGAGAGAATAAAGCAGAACTCGATCTCAGAGCCTTGTGTGTCTTTCCCTCAGACTTTCATCAATACAGCATTGTATAGGATTGGTGTTATCAAAATCATAGAAGCAGGCTACAATGCACTTTTCCTGTTGCTCTTTTGTGGGCAATGTTTTTTTCTTTTTACCCTTTTTCTTTGCTTTGTAATAAGACTCAGCCGTGGGGTTACCAGTCTTAGCATTTAGGCCTATGTGTGTCTGTGTGTTATTTTATACAGCAGTCAGATTTTGCTTGAGAGAAGGAGGAACTCATTTTGCTGCTGTTGACACATTCATCTTTGAAAAACAAGTGTTATTTCTGTAAGAAAGACATTTCTGTCACTCTCAAGCTTAAATGCTGTGAAGACTTTAATATATGTAAAATACTTAAGATTTTTTGTGGTACTTTTCAAATTTGTGTTTTTTTAAATGTAATATTTTTACTGTCTCCCAGGGTTTTAGCTGTCTTTGATCCAACACAGCTGATTTAAATGGCTGCATTGCTACATTTAGGCCTGAATTATGCTTTAGCAGGAAATCTTACATTGTAACTTATGACGTAACCAGAAAGTCCTTTTAACCTTATGCCGTAACTTGACATGCTCCTTACAAGAAATGTAACTACTACGACTTGAATGATCCAGAAGGTTGCAACGTAGGATTAAATCAGGTTTCAGGGTCACACAGGCATAGAGACCAGCTGACAACCTCCCAGCAGCCGCATGTCACTGAGGAAAATGTGTGATCCCTGGTTGGTTGACCAAAGTGGTAGCTGGAGGTTGCTTGATGCAAACACTCACTAACTGCTCACCAAGCTTTAGTGAAACAGTGGAAAGTGTGAAAAACAAGCTTATTTCTGACAGTGTAAGACAAACAAGGATTGTTTTGAACAGTTATTCATGCAAAGCTGCTCTGTTGGACTACGTGAATAAACATGTAGAGTCAGAATGAATGCAGAAGGTCCCCGGGAAAAGAATTGAGCGATAGTTTGTGTCTGTGTATTTCAAGTTACACCAGCTCGGCACAATGGTGATGGTACATGTTTCTGAACAGCTTTTCTCTGCTTGTATATCAGAAACCTAAATTTCTACTCTTAGATTTACTGCAATTTGTGCTCCTAATGAGATAAACCTGTGGTCTTTCCTCTTCCTCCATCCTCAGGGCAGACCTATACTGATGTGCATTTAAATTGAGTTTCTCTGCTCAGTAAATGAAGCTAACACTGGTTATTCTAGACGAGTAAAGCTTTCTAATAAATCTTCAAATGTCTTGAATCTTGCAGTCCTGCTGATGTTGTGACAGCTAAAGCGGAAAGGTTATATTCTGTAAACATCAGTCTGTGGTCCCATCATTGCCTCATTGCAGGAAGTGCTGAAGCGACAGGTGTTTGAATGTGACTTCATTGCTCTGTCTCAAATGTACCTTCTGTCCCTTGCTTTCAGGAGTTTACGAGGAGAGTAACGGCACCAGCAGAACAGCCGGTATGAACGGTAACGGTCCCAGCAGGCTTGTTGACCCCCTGGAGGATCCGCTGCCTGGAGTGGGCACCTATGAAGACTTCAACACCATCGACTGGGTCAGAGAGAAGAGCAAAGACCGGGACAGGCACAGGGAGGTAAGGAGGAAGGATGTTTTTGGGGGGAGTTAGATGAATTTCACTATCATACCTATAACAAGATGAGGAATTTACTCTCTGGGTGCCAAAGCAAGCGTCAGTTCAAGGTCAATTTTTTTTTTGGTAGATCTGGGTCCGTCAAATGGTGTCCAAATCAAAAATACAAATGATTACTGCTTCGTTTCCTCGTGTTTGGTGCGTCACTGTTCGTTGCCTCAGTGAGTCATCTTCAGATCACTTATAAGTGGTCCACAAAGCTCCCGAACAACTACTTACTCAGTCCTCTAAGTGATGCTATTGGGGATCTATTTTGTCATCTTTGCACTCTCCCCATGAAGTTGTTTGACAGATATGTTCATATGCCTGCTTACATTAGCAAACTCCTGCATCCATGGGTTTGGTGTTGGTTCATCGAGGTGCTCTGATCAAAGCTCTTATTGGTTCCTGGTCCTAGACTGAAAACTAAAGAAGGCTTTGTGTTTGAGTTTGCGGCTTCTAAACTTACATTAAATGCACTACAATGTCATTTGATACCTGTGGACTGGATTTATTTATTTTTTAAATTTGTTTATGATTGTGAATCACTTTGATCTCGATCTGTTGCTTGTTTTATTTAGCATTATGTGGGTTGTTTATGTATCGCCACACTTTTTAGAGTAGAAACAGGGACGATGGAGGTTATGTGCAGATGCAGCTTGGACTTGACGCCTTATTACATGAGCCGTCAATACAGCAGCACATGAGATAAATGTACTTAAATATAACTCGTCACTTTTTGTCTTGACCAGCTGTATATTTTCAGAGGTCTCAGCGTCATTCAAATGACTTTAATGTCATGTTTTTAGGATACGGAAGAAATTTTTCACTTTCTCATTTCTTTCATTTCTCTGTTCATCCAGATCACCAATAAGAGCAGACAGTCCACTGTGGCCCTGCTGCACAGCATCAGTGATGCCTTCTCAGGGTGGCTGCTCATGCTGCTGGTGGGACTCATGTCAGGTACTCCACACACTCATCCCCACACATACATTTATTAATGCTTTATTGCCACAGTTCTCTTCAATAACAGGTAGACACAATCATAAGGAAGGAAAAGCAAACTAACTCCAGATGCTGTGAATTGAAAAACACACTGCAGCATAAAGTATGCAAATTCTTTATACGCTGCCGTTTTGAATTGGGTCCCTCTTAAGTGCAGCAGCTCAAATTCTGAGTGGTTATTGAAATGTTACCATATCTTTGCTGAATTTGGGACCTCAGGTCCTGAGCAGTAGGGAGACAAAGTTAAAGAGGCAAGGCTGAGATGCTTTGGGCTTGTCCAGATGAAGGATAGTGGATATACTGGACAAAGGATATTAAAGATGGGGATCAGTAATTAGAAGTGAAGGAGGACATGCAGATGGTTTGTGTTACACAGAAGGATGGCGGGGATTGGGTGAGATGGAGGTAGATTATCTGCTGTGGCAACAGACTTTAGGGCACTGCTCTTAAAAACACAGTTATTTAACTGATCTTCCCAGGCTTTCAGGCTTCTGAAGCACTTTGATGGAAAGCGTTTGTACTTGCTCAGACTTTTTCTCTTGTTTCATTGCTGCCTGCATCAGTTGAACATTATATCCCATGGGGTGACAGAAAACGGGTTTAGAGCCGCGACGTAGCACGAGCACAGCACTGAACATATGCGGGGCGGCACATATCTAAAGGAAATGAATGTTAGCAATGTTGGTTAAAAATCTTTTTGTTGACCCTTTGGGTTGTAAACTTGACTTGTTCAGATTACACTGATCCACTTCTCTGACATTTGGTCGCACTCAGATATGCATAATAAAAATAATAAACTTTATGTATATAGCACCTATAAAAACAGAACTCGCAAACCAGGCAATCACAATAAATTGTGTGATTCCATGGAAAAGCACAGTGTTCTTCAGGCCCTGTGCAATAACGTGAGCGTATCTAATAAAACAAAACTGTGCAAAGTTTGATTAATGTCTATGACATGGGGACCTGGATCTTTTATGTTTTCTCATGATTCACTGGAGGAAACTTCAATAACCTGTATTTTGTGTAAATTGTACCATCATGTGGGTGAGACGTATCCGTCAAAATAAAATTCTCCTCACTTACATTTTAATACCAGGCTTATCTCCTAGCCCAGATTTGTTCTGTCTCAAAAACTCGTTTTAAAACTCATCATTGTAGCTTATCTCAGTGAAAATGCAGAGCACTGTTGCTTCTGTTCCCTTGCTACTGCTAAGACCTCAAGCAAGGGAACAGAAATAATAACGTAGACAAGTTAAGGCGGTAACCGGACAATAAAAGGCTGTAAAAGTAAATTACTTGTATTGAGAGGACAGAATACAAGTCTATATAAAGTGAGTTTAAGATGAACTTTAAAGGAGGTCAAGGATTTGGCCTCATCTCCTCAGGCCGTTTGTTCCGAAGAAGAGGAGCACGATCTGTTTTAGACTTGAAACAAATGGAGAGTCTGCTGAAGCCAGTGTTTCCACAGTGTGTCTTTCTCGTGTCCTCCCCTAGCCCTCCAACTGGCCACAGCAGATGGCTGCTCCTCCCTGAGCCTGGTTCTGCCAGAGGTTTGTTCCTGTCAAAAGGGAGTTTTTCCTTCCCACTGTCACCGAGTGCTTACTCATAGGGGGAGCTGTCTGATTGTTGGGGGTTCTCTCTATTATTTTAGGGTCTTTATCTTACAGATTTTTCTTTCTTGTTGTCTTTCTTCTCAACTTTTTCAGGTGCTCTAGCCGGCGGCATCGACATCTCAGCCCACTGGATGACGGACGTGAAGGGAGGGTTGTGTCTCCGAGGCTTCTGGTTCAACCACGAGCACTGCTGCTGGTTGTCTAACGAGACCACGTTCCAGGAGAGGGACCGGTGTCCACAGTGGCAGAGCTGGGCTGAGCTCATAACAGGAAAGTCAGAGGTAGGAGAAGATTTTAAAACTTTTCTGCTGATTTTGATGCGTGCAATTTCTAGTTGGTAGCAGTTGTTATTCTCAGAATTGTTTTTGAGGGACTTTCTTGGCTCCAAATGTGTGAATGAAGTGTTATCCCAAGCCTTGAGTTTGAGATTTGTTGACTGTTCCTCAGGCTTCAGTGCTGCTATGGCTCCATCTACTGGTTGAAAACTGTCATGGTGCAAAATCTAAACCACTGTGACTTCAGGATTTCCACAAAACTAATCCCTGCTTAGTTATTTATGTTATGTTTATTTATGTTGTGTTTATTTATTCATTTTTCAGAAATCATTTGTCACTTCGTGCATGTGTGTGTGTGTGTGTGTGTGTGTGTGTGTGTGTGTGTGTGCTATTTGTGCCTCTGCAGGGTCCCCTTGCCTACATCATGAACTACCTGATGTACATATTTTGGGCTCTGATGTTCTCCTTCTTGGCTGTCATACTGGTCAGAGCCTTTGCTCCGTACGCATGCGGATCAGGAATACCAGAGGTGAGGCTGCACTCTAAACAATAATGGTAAACCATCAGAGTTTTTAAGTGACTCATTATATTAATGGTTTAAATCACTTTTTTCCCACTTTATGTTGTTGCTTTTATTTCATCTCTTATTTAGTTCATAGGCCACTTACAGCCTGTTTTGACATCAGGAATAGTTGGACCACTAAGACTGTTAGATAATTAACTATAGAGGCAAAAAACACCTTCAGGAGATTCTCTTCTCTTTCACTATAAAGAAAATTCTAAAAATGTAAAAATGTAACCTAAAAATGTCATATTTAATAAATCTTTAACATATAAATGTAAAGAAAAGCAAGCCATATAACAGCTCTGTTTTTCCACACTGCTGTAATAAACCAGTGAAACCCGTCCCCCACAGCTCCTTAATCTGACACAGATTTGTAAAATTACAGAAAGGTAGAGGGAGCTTGTTACCCAAACTTTGAACTGACTGTTTCAATGACATTTAAAAAGAAGAAAATGTTTTGGACCCAGTGTTTTTTCTTTTTCTTTTTTTCTTAGACAAAGAACAAACACAGTTTCTTTGGTTCATTGACGGCAGCAATCCCTTAAGTATTGTCCCCAGCCCTCTTGTGGGCCTTTTAGGTACTGCAGTCAATTCAATATCATTAAAATAATTTGGGATTGGTTCCAAAATCAGATTTTTCTATTGAAATGTTCTTTTAAAATCCCAGAAGATTTTTTTTTAAATTTAGATTTTGTAATAAATGTAAAAATGAAGACCGTTCAAACCTTTGGCTCAGAATTGTGAGGATTTGATATCCATGATCTACCACAGGGGTCGGCAACCTTTCTGATGGCGAGTGCCATTTAAAATTTCCTCAGAGGTCAGTGTGCCATATGATTGCCTTAGCAATAAATTTAATAACGCTCTATATTAACAGTTACACACTATATAGAACCACTTTATACAATTATATTTGTTCGCAGATGTTGGCAGCTATCAGCGAATAGTTATCTGCTATTTTGAAACAAAAAAAAAACAACTTTTTATCCATAACAGCAAATGGACTGTACAACAGAAAATACAAATGCTATTTATGGTCTCCTCACAACAATGATAAGAAAAATAAACTGGGCCAGTATGGCATGTTTGATAATACAGAGACACACATGTTAATCTGATCTCTGGTCTCCCACTCAGAGACACAGGTCTCCGACTGTCCAGCATTCAGGCGGCTACCTGAGGAGAAAATCTGCTCACACAGATATGTGGAGCCAAATACTGTCAATAAGGCCTCTGCAATGTTCTGAAGACAGTTAAACTTGTCAGGTAGTGATGTCCAGGTGAAAATGCAGCTCCATGAACACGCACAGCTGTGGATTCCAGCTGCTTCGATGTTGCATTAACTGGCATTAACTCAGCCAGTTAATGCGAGACAAATCCAGCTGCTCATTAAAGATTTCTGGTTTGATCAGAAAATAAAACATTGGTCCATAAACCTGAAAGTCCCAAAAATGCATTGTGTCTCGAGTCTACGGATGTATCCGTGTATCTCCGTGGTGCTGATGCTGTGCTGAGCGAACAGCTCCTGAAGCTTTTGAAGTGTCAGAATGTGGAAAGCTAACAACGTCCCTCTCACCGGTAGGCGAAGTTATTTTTAGCCAATTACAAGTTGAATCTGGTAGTTGGGGTTGTTAGCTAAGATACCGTCATTAAGAAGCGGCACAACTAATGTGTCTATGCGAGCTGATTTGCGATGTGCACCGCTGGCGCGGCCATTTATTTTTTGATGCACCTTCTCAGATTAATTCACTGCGTGTCGTGCCCAGGGCTGGACTGGGACAAAAAATCAGCCTCTGGCATTTTGACTACAGACCGGCCCACCAGGTATTACAGCCATAAAGCCTTTGAATGAAAACAAACGCTGTTGTGACAGTGATGTCTTGTTGGTATATGTATGATTTCTATACATTTTATGTCAGATAAAAACTTTGGTTGTAAGATTCAGATAATTATTTAATAACAGCGAGACATTTTAAATGAGAATAAGAAAGAAAAGTATTTCTTTGTGCCCCCCTCTCCCTGTTAATGCCCTACCTGCCCCCCTGGCAACACTTTGCTAGACCCGCCCCTGCACAGTTACCAGCTGTCAGCTACCTAAAAAAGGATCCTGGTGTTATTTGTCTCTCAGAAACAGTTCATAACTTCAACTCATTCATGTCACCTAAAAGGTAAACCTGTTTCTCCATCACCTGTTCAGCTCTGATGATTCAGTAAGGACATCTCCTGGTTTCATCTTCATGTTTCCCTCTCACCACATATCCAAACCGACATCATGACCAGCAGCTTTACAGCTGTGGCTCCAGCAAACATCAGCTGATACTAGAAATTAATATTAAATAAATTCTAACAACAGCTGATCAAGCTTAAACGTGCTGCTGTTGTTTAGCGCGACATCCGCTGGTTTCCTCTTTCTGGCGCAAAGTGGGCGATAAATAAACAAGAGAGAAAAGCCGATCAGCTGATCATTGATCAGTTTCATGATTGAAGTAGCAACAGGAGAGGGAGGGTGAGAGGATGAGAGAAGAAGAGGCAGCTGTGCAGCAAAGACACAGAATAAATCCAGCTGTGTGTCTTTTTCATTGTAGCTGAAGTCCGGGACAAACTGTTCCTTTTCAGCTCAATATGAAACACGTAATAATTTCTCTGAATGCAGGACGAGTCTGTCTTTTTACGGGACGGTTGGAAACTCTACTAACTAAAGTTCACTATCAGTAACATCAAAGCACCCACCCAGCTGTATAGAAACTCCGTCATGCTAGCTAGCACGCAGTATGAGTTATTGTAGCTGACTGTAAAAAGTCAGCACAACGAAAATAAACTCCACCTAAACTTGGTTCATATCTGACCCAGACAGACTGCAGGTCATAACTTCTTACCTGAAGTTCAGTTCACCTGACACTCGGACTGGAGGCTGCCTCAGGTCTCTCTTCCTCCTGCCTCCCCTTTCTCTCATCCACCTGGTGGCCTCCACCACTTGCTAATGTTACTGAATCTGAGGAAGCTCCACCACAGCCACCACCAAACAACTGAGTTATTTTTACACACCGGCCAGCATCTGACCAATCCACCACCTCTCATTGTTTATACCGTTACAAAAAAATAAAAAATAAAATAAAAAATCATCAGGCCACTGAGCAAATGCCCGATGGCCAGTCCAGCTATGGTCGTGCCATCAGTTAACCCTTCGCGTGCCCAGGGTTGCCGACCCCTAATCTACCATGATGGCTAAAAGTTTTGGCAGCGGCACTGATTTTGGGTTTCATAACTTTACAGTTTCATGTTTCAGAATTTAGTTTTTCACGTTTCTGTTCTAGTGAAGAACAAGTACGAGTATTTCATAAGCTTCAAAGTGGTTTATAGTCAAATAAGTCAAACTTATGCAGGGAGTTGGTGTTTCCAGTGTTGACCCATCTTGATGACAGTCCACTGCAGCCTTAGAAGCCTCACTGGGCTCCTGCTTGTCCACCTGCTTTTTAAAAAGAGGCCATGCTGAAGACTTGAGGCACTGATTAACCAGACCTCACTCAGGATTTGGCCCAGAAGAGAACTACAGAAGAAGAAGGGTCAAAACTGTTAAAAGTCTTTGAAACTTATGAAACGTTATTCAGTGGTTAAAGTGGGAGCTGTCATGTTGGGGTGGTGCAGCATGAGAACAAGAATTACTTAGACGCTTCATTCATAAACACATCAACAACAACAACAAAGAAGAGTTGCTCGTTAATGCTGCTCCTGTTCAGTTGTAGGAAACTTAGTATATTCACGTACTTAGAGTGTTTTTCTTTTTAATTTTAATAAACACCAGGTCAACTAGTTCTGCTTCTCCTGTTCCCTGTTCTTCCCGTCCATCTGCCTTTGTTTACTCTCCTGTTCGCTCCGTTTCTTTCATTCTTCATTTCTGAGGAGGTGAAAAGCCAAAGATTTGCTTACACTCTGGAAAGCCAAACATTTTCTCACTGATTCGTCCATTCTAGAAAAAAACGAAAACAAAAATACACCAGCTTCCTCCAAATCCAAATATTATCCTGCTCACTACTCCTCTCAGTTGAAGAACTGTTTAATTTTGTGGAACTTGAATCGTTTTCTCCCAACACTCTCGTTTCTCAAAGGTCAGCAGGGCCACGCACGAGAGATTAATCACTTATTTGAAAGAAAAATATCAAAACGCAAACCTCATTTCTCTCCTTGGGCCCTCCTTCTGTGTTTACACTCGCTTTCTTGTGGTTATACACTCAGACAGGCGTATCTAAACTGAACCCTCCCTAACATAAACATATCCTCATCTTCTCCTTGCACATGCAAACAAACCCACTCACTCTCACCTCCGTCTTCCTCAGATTAAAACCATCCTCAGTGGCTTCATCATCCGGGGCTACCTGGGGAAGTGGACCCTGATCATCAAGACCATCACCCTGGTCTTAGCCGTCTCCTCCGGGCTCAGTTTAGGGAAGGAAGGCCCTCTGGTCCACGTCGCCTGCTGCTGTGCTAATATACTCTGTCACCTGTTCACCAAGTACCGCAAGAATGAGGCCAAGAGGCGAGAGGTAAGCAGAGGTGACCCCGGTGTTGTTGGAGGAGCTATTGCGGGTTTTTGGGGAAACTTGACAGGAAAGACTGTCATCAAGAAAAAACTGTACAAGCAAAATATTGCAATAGCTAAAGACCAATAGTACAAGGATGTTGACCTTTTACATTTATGCAGATAAATTGATCTGTTACATGAAAGTCCAACTTTAAATTTTTCACATAAATGGGATCAGCAGTGCTTGGGCAAGACAGTTGGTACAGTCCCTCCCTTTTTTTTCTTGTCTCTACATGTAGGTGTTATCAGCGGCAGCAGCAGTGGGCGTGTCAGTGGCTTTTGGAGCTCCTATTGGAGGAGTCCTGTTCAGTCTGGAGGAGGTGGGTAGAGCTTATGATGCATTTTCCACTGTTTTCTATCATTTGTCTGCAGATTCTCTGCATCTGTATTTCTGTGTCAGAACAACACCTGCAGTGCCGGCTGTTTTATTACTCCACAAATACCTGATTTGAATTAGTTTTTAATTGCTTTCCACTTCCTGTGTAATTTTTTCGTACTGGAACGAGCACAGCGCTGGCACCAAGCTGGGACATAATAAATATGAGAAATTATTTGCAGTCTTACTTTGGGAAGCGAATGCATTTTTGGCAGCTGTCAAATCCATCTTGGGCAGAAACATGCTGAAGAGTTTCTGGAATAAGGAAACTGGCACTTTGATCACCTCATGGGGTCTCCCCAAAACAGGGAACATGACCTGTGTCTTTATAGAGCCGGCCTGGCCGTGCACTGAACTGATGAACCAGGGTTAGTTTATAATATGAGATAATGTAATGAAAACTATTAGGTCAATGTTGGCCTCACAAAATAGAGGAAAGGCCAATACTTGAGCATTTTGTTAATTAAAAAAATACTTGGAGTTTAATTGCCCATGCTGTTTTTTTCATTGGCTCTTTCTATCGCCCCACTCAGAGATCCCATCTCAAATAAAGAGTTGCTTAAGTCTGCTATGCTTATTAGACTTTCCAAGAGTTTTTAATTTCATTTAGTTTAAAATTGTTATTTTTGATTCAGTTTTGTTTAATTTGGTTTCCAGAGCTTGCTTTGTTTTTATTGTTTAAAGATGTTTAAAGATGACTGAGAGATTTGAGTCTCGCATAAACAGAAGCAGTAAAAGTTTTCTTGGGATGGTTGTTTTGACAATCTGAGCAAAATTGGAAAAAGACAACACTTTAAAAACGAGGAGAATAATGTCTTATTTTGTTTTAGTTCGTTTTGTAAATACAATTTTTGGTTGAGCCTAGTTTTTATATCTTTGTGTTTTCCATTCAGTCCAGTTGTAGTTATTTTGTTTAGGTTTGGGGTGAGGTGTAGTGAGGTGTAGTGAGGTGTAGTGAGGTGTAGTGAGGTGTAGTGAGCTCCGGCTTTGCCTCTCTCTCATCAATAAATGTCTCTGTCCGCCTCTCTCTCCTCCAGGTGAGCTACTACTTCCCCCTGAAGACTCTGTGGCGTTCGTTCTTCGCCGCTCTGGTGGCGGCCTTCACCCTGCGCTCCATCAACCCGTTTGGGAACAGCCGCCTGGTGCTCTTCTATGTGGAGTTTCACACGCCGTGGCACCTGGTGGAGCTGGCCCCTTTCATCCTGCTGGGGATCTTTGGAGGCCTTTGGGGGGCGCTGTTCATCAAGGCTAACATTGCCTGGTGCAGGCTTCGTGAGTAGCGGTGACATATCTGTGACGTATTTTTCTTTCCTTTGTGTCTCCAACCCATAAATTAACTTCTCCACACACCTCACAGGTAAAACCACTTGTCTGGGTCACTACCCCGTCATCGAGGTGCTGGTGGTCGCCGCGCTGACCGCCTTGCTCGCCTACCCCAACAGTTACACCAGGATGAGCGGATCCGAGCTCATCTCGGAGCTCTTCAACGACTGCTCCCTGCTCGACTCGTCTCAGCTGTGCGGCTACAAACAGGTCAGCCGATAAATCGCTGCATCAGGATACTGCAGTTTTTCACGTGATTATTTAACCTTGCTGAGCTATCTAACATATCTTTATATATATTTCTTGTTCTTCTCTCTCGCTGCTTCCTTTCCCCCTCTTTCTGTCTCCATGCGTATCTTTCTTCTCCTCACTCGTGCTCGCAGCCAGCCAACACGTCAGACACAGGTGTAGATAACAGCCTCGCTGACCGGCCAGCGGGACCGGGCCTTTACACGGCGCTGTGGCAGCTGGCCCTGGCCTTGGTCTTCAAGATGATGATCACTGTTATTACATTTGGCATGAAGGTTTGTGAAGAGACACTCAGCGGTCCACTTTGAACTCCTCATCAATGAGACATTTATTGTTATTCTCCCCGTGGTGTAACATTGCATGTAAAAAGCCTACAAAGGCAGCTGCCTTTAATATATCTGGAGCCACATTTGATCAAGTTTCCAGCGTTCATTCACTCGTGTTACCCATTTGGGAATTTCGATGGATGAAGTAAGTGATTCTGTAAATGGTTTTCTGCGATTCATATGCGATGTGAATCCCCGTCATGTGGCTCGCTGAGGAAAGAAATGAATATTGTTTTCTAGAAAACGCAAAAGTCCCTTTGGTAACGAAGCTAAAATGAATTGGCTGAAAATGCCTGTGGACATGTTTTAATTAGAGACAATCTTGTCTGAGATGGTGATGTGCATCATGAGGTTCTCTGATGGGGAAAAGTTGGGAACATAACCAGCATCTGGGAGGGAAGGCCCTCTTTTTGACTTATTGGATTAAAAGCTAACGCAAACTGAACTGTTAGATGCACAGAGGTCTGGATGGATATTTTTAACTGATTCTGTCCGTGCAGGTTCCCTCTGGTCTCTTCATTCCCAGCATGGCAGTTGGAGCCATAGCTGGCAGGCTGCTCGGCGTTGGCATGGAACAGCTGGCCTACTACAACCACGACTCGGTTATCTTTAAAGGGTGGTGCTCTCAGGGGGCAGACTGCATCACGCCGGGGCTTTACGCCATGGTTGGAGCTGCCGCTTGTTTAGGTGAGACATGGATGTCTGGTTCCTGAGTGTTTGCTTGATTTAAACCACTGTGTGGTTGGGTGGAGGGTGAGAAGGGTGTCGTCGGGAGGATTGAGAAGTGACAGAAGATACTGGACAGAAAAGCGTAAAGCAAGAGTGGCGGTGAAGTCTCAGAGGCTGTTTGAGTTTAGATTTAGGCTGTTTCGTCGTAATATTCTAAACATGCTCTTCTACCAACATCCTGAGTCTGACATGGAAATGTTTTAGGATATATAGAAAGCAGCTGGATGTGAGAAGGCTGAAGGACTCCTTGGTCCACACCAGAGGAAGCCATTCCATGAATCTTTGTGTATGACTTTATCTGTCCAGTTTATTATGGTCTGTAAATGATTCGAGGTGCCTGACATTGCAAACGGTCACTTAAAGGAGCTTTACATTTTAATTTAAATCCACCCTTCAGTCTATCCATCCATTGTCCTTCCACTTGTCTCCTGAAGTTGGGTCACAGCGGCAGCAAGCTAAAATTTCCAGTTCCTCCTGAGGGATCCCAAGTTGTTCCCAGACCAGACAAGATATGGGTTTACCCCCCGATCTCGTCTCAGTTACACATGCGCTGAAAACATCCAAAGGAGACATCCTTACCAGAGCCTCAAACCGCTTCATCCAGCTCCTTTCAACAAGTAGTAGTAGTGGTTCTCCTCTGAGATCCCTCTGGATGTCTGAACTCCTCACCCTGCCTCTAAAGTTGGCCCCAGCCACAGCAAGGAAGAAACTAATTTCAGCCACTTGTATTCACATGTTTTCTCTTTTGCTCATTATCCGTAATTCATGACCATAGGTGATGGTTGGGGCATAGATGAAAGCTTCACGAAAGACTCGGCTCACTCTTCATCGCGGCAAACAAGTTCATTGCACCAGTCCGCCCGTCCAACTGACACTCCTCCGTCACATTACTCGTGAATAAGATCCCAAGATACTTGAAGTCCTTTGCATAAAACAATCAGACAATCCACTATAAGCAGGCACCAGGTAATGGCAGGAAAGAAGGAAGGCCATTTTTTCTAAACAGGAAGAAATCTCAGGCTCTGTGACTGGAATCCATCTGCTGTGATGGGGAAAAACAGACAAAACACAACTCTGTGGAAGAGAGAATATAACAGTTAATAATTAAGAATGTATGAATGGATAGCAGAGGGGTGTCTGTCGATCAAAAACCAAAAAGCTTCAAAAAGTTCATTCTGAAGTTCCTCCAAACTGTGCTGTTTATAACGCTGGCCAAACTTCACTTGGATGAGTAATTAAACATTTCTCCTGCTGAAAAAGCTCCATCCAGAAGAACAGAGTCACGTTTGTGGCTTGCGGTGCGCAAAAAATATCGGCCCCTTGTGGGACTCCGTGGCCAACATTTGTGTGCGGGGAAGGCTCCTTGCTTACAACAAACTGGGATCTATCAGATACTTATGAATCACGCCAGCTCAGCACATGGCCTTTAATAGTAATAATGCTTTTTAGTCACTGTTATAAACATTTGGTCATCAGTGGTAGCTCAACCCTGCACTGGTGAAACGAGACCCTACAGGTCACCAAAATATCAGTGTTGTGAGAATTTCAACACTGATGACTGATTATCTTTTTTTTCTGAAGCAAATCCAAAAATTTCTTCAATTCAAAATCTGCCACTTCCCTTATTTATTCTTTTAGAAAAAGATTTTCGAATAAAACTGGTTCAAAAATGCTGCATTGGCACATTTAACCTTGTTTTATTGAGATAAAAGTACCTATTTAAATACAGAAAAAGCTTTACAGAGCGATTGTTTACTACACATCATCTGGTGTTTAATACACCACAGATTTATAGCTGTTTATTAAATCAGTTTTCTCTTCAGTTCATAGATGTCACATGTCGTACACACTTCAGGTTTCTGATATTAGCCATTACTTTTCATGTGCAGTAAATTGTTTTAACGCTTGATGATGATGACGATACAGTTATCATTGTTTTCCCTTTCCCTTCTCTTTTGTCGAACTAAACATAGCACAGAAAATGATGCTGATGGGTTATCGTTCTCTTCACAGAGAGGTGTCTAGTCTAAAAACAGATGTTTAATTCTTCGCACAAGAAGAAAGTTTGAGGGTAGCGAGCCGCGTGTTTTATAGATCTGGGACAGAGTTTAAAGAGAGGTTTCTTGTTTCTGAAATATGTCTCTGTAATATATGCACACACTACACTTTATGATAGTGCTCATAAATAAAATATCTGGCAGTGAAAGAGATCTCATCTGATTTAAGAAAGCCAGAGATTTCATTCCCTTTACTACACTGTGGTTTGTCTCTTTGCATTTTCCTCAAAGTCTCTTTCACAACACAGGGCAACAGCATTTACACACAGGAGTCTCCACTCTTGACCGCCTCACACTCTCATGTGCTGCTGTTATTCTTGTTCACAAGTCACCATTATGGGATTGTGCCATCGTAGCTGCTCTGTGGAGCTGTTTGAGCTGCAAACATTCAAACCCAGCATACGCCAGTACTTGGATCTCTATACGTTTACTTATTTTACTGGCAAAATACATGCTGGCACTAAATACATTCCTGATGATCTGATACAGCAATGCAAATAGAGATTGCTCGTAGAGCCAAAACTAAAACAAGGGTAGCTACTTTCAGTTATTACACAGTAATAACACACTGCCAAATACTCTGAACCAGCTGAGTGTCTAGATAGAAAATGCTCCTCGAGTTTTCTTCCTGTTAACTTTTTCCCTCAAACAATATTTGATGACTTTCCCTGTACCCTCAATGACGATGTTTGACACCTCAGTGCGTATAAATAAAGACGTGGTTTGGCGACTTTTACAGATTTTTCCCAGGGGGGGGGGTTGCATAATCACAAACCACCTTTACTAATATCTGATGCAAATCCAGTCATTTATTCTTTAGTCAGGCCTGAAATATGGCAGAAACCTTTAACCTCCTAGGACCTGGAGTCCACATATGTGGATGTCGCAATTTGGGCTGTCTAGACCAAAATACTAAATTTCGCTCTACAAGGGCCTGATATCCACTTAGAAGGACATTATACCGCCACTGTTCTATCGAAATTTAAAATGAATGTCCTCTCATGTGGATCTTACTTTTCTCAGAAACAAAAAGCAGGTAAAAAAATAAATAAATCTGGTAATTCTTTGTTTTTACATTCATCAGGTCCCAATCAGCCCAAATAGCAAAGAGAAATTAAAAATGCATGCCATGAAAGAGTTCGGGTCTTAGGAGGGTTCAGAGGAGAGCTTCTAGGGTCTTTCCTAGTAGGCTTTCAAAACATAAAGAGTGAAAAGGGAGTTCTTCCTTCTCACCATTCCCAAGTACTGCTCTGAAAAATTGGATTCTCTATTGTTCTGTGTTTTGGTTCTATGGTTACTACTTGTGTGTTATATAGTTTCTACATATACAGCATGAGTGGCTGGAAAGAAACAGAATTTCTACACGTGTGAGACTCATTCTGTTGTTGAAACAGCTGGATGTTATGTACATTTCACATGAGGAGAATCAGGTCAGGACGCGTGCTGCAGTAATCCTTTCTCACGTTTAGCACAAACAGCAGGAGGTAGTCCCACTTCAGACGCGTTCACGCCACTGGAAGGTGAGGCAGCCATCTGGATTAGCTAACAGTGCGCGCGCCACCCTGACTGCAGCTCGATTACTAATCTTACTTGTTTTTTGGAAAAACCTCTTGAAGTAATGAAAAAATAATAATATCTTGTTAGATTTTTGTGGTACATAATCACAAAAAAATCATCAGTTAATAATTTAAATGTGTAGAAAAAAAACAGGAAGAAAAGTTTTTAATCCTCTGAAAGTGGAAAAAAAGGATATACAACACTCGTAATAAAGTCTTTGACATGCAGCTGTTTCGTGGCAGTTGTTTTGAAGAAAAGCACAGAGTTGAAAACGTAGCCTTGGCTTTCTGGCCACATCTGAGGTCGAAGATGATGATAATTGGATTCAGACTTTACCAGCTGATGTTAGTGGCAACAGTGTCATACAGAGAGGAGATGAATGGTCTGAGCTCTCGGGTAGAGAAATAGATGTGCCACTAAATGCCTCTGTAAACTCGATGAACAGCAGCGCTGTCTCTTTTATATGCTCACCTTATGTGCCCTCTGTTCTCTAATTGCTCTTTTTCTTTTTGCCTGCAGATGAAGATAAAATGAGTCAGATGGGAATTAAATCGCCTATTAATCTTGCTCGCCTGTGGTCTAACCTTTTCCATTCTCATATCTGCCTCCAGGTGGAGTGACTCGAATGACAGTATCTCTGGTAGTCATCATGTTTGAGCTGACTGGCGGTCTGGAGTACATTGTTCCCCTCATGGCTGCAACCATGACCAGCAAATGGGTGGCAGATGCTTTCGGAAGAGAGGGAATTTACGAGGTGACGTGTCTGCAAACGTTAATGAAAAGTGTCTGTCCCCTCCAACCCTTTGCTGTACAATAAGAGCGAGTTTGCGCTCTTTTTGTCTTTATTAGGATTCATGTGTTTTATTGTTTAGGTTTTTTTTCCCCCCCTGCTTTTAAAAATGGAGACGTAAAACCTGCATGTTCCTGATGTTTCGCAGGCTCACATCAGGCTGAATGGATACCCGTTCCTGGAGCCAAAAGAAGAGTTTGAACACAGCAGCCTGGCGGTGGACGTGATGAGGCCGAGGAGGATGGACCCCGCGCTTGCTGTGCTCACGCAGGAGGGCATGACTGTGGGGGAGGTGGAGGTACGACTGCACATATTACACCTATGTTTCTTGGGAAGAGATTTGGAATCCTAATAGAGATAATAGAAATAACATTCGTTTCTTGGTTTATGCGCAGTCATTGGTGGAGAGCACGCACTTTAGTGGCTTCCCTGTGGTTGTCTCTTCGGAGTCCCAAAGGCTTGTGGGATTTGTACTCAGGAGAGATCTGCTCATATCAATAGGTATGAATTATGCTCGTGTGTAAACAAAGATCTAGTCACAGGGTTTTTTTGTTTTTTATTTGTATGCAAAGCAATTTGGTTTCCACAAATCCCACTTTGCTCCTTTCAGACAATGCCCGCAAACGTCAGGATGGCATCGTCAGTGCCTCCCAAGTGGTCTTCACTGAGCACACACCGTTGCTTCCTCCCGACGCACCGCCTCCCCTCCGGCTGAGGTGCATCATGGACCTGAGCCCCTTTACAGTTACTGATCACACCCCTATGGACATCACTGTGGATATTTTCAGAAAACTGGGGCTACGCCAGTGTCTGGTCACACATAATGGGTAAGAAGAAACACACACACATGCATATACTTGATTTTGTAATTAATGTTTTTATATCAAATATTTAGTGTCCAAAGGGCAAACCTGCGCTGGATTTAGTCTCCAAAATGACTTATTGTATGAGCAGAGCCCTCTAGTTTCAAGCAATATTAACAAAGATACACAAAATGACCACACTCCCACTCCCGTAGACATTAAACTGAGATATGTTGAGGAAATTGCGCTTGTGGAGGAATGAAAGGAGTGACAGATGAATGTGTAGGAGAGCTCGGGGTCATTCCTCTGTCAGGTCATGCATCAAGGTGAGTGCAGGAGTCAGGGAGGGGGAGACAGAAGGTTAATGGAGTGTGTGGCAGTGAGGAACAACAGTGGAAATTCTCAAGGTGTTTTTCTGCCTTAAACTCTGAACTGTCACTGACTCCATACCATGAACTTCAGTGAGGACTTTGTGTTTTGTACATCTGCTGATATAATGGCTTTTGGGGCTTTGGTATGCACGTCTCCGTAATGGAAAACATGTCATGGATAGAGCTACAAAGCCTACGTGGTATTTGATATTTGCAAAAGCAACACACAGGGAAGCGGAGGAATTATGATGATGGCACGCTATCAATTTGGACGCATTGAAGATTTTCTTTTGTAGCTCATGACACTTTTTAAAATCTGCGTCTTCAAAGTAGTCCCGCAGTGATCAAGGCTTTTGTAGTATGATTGGGAAACTTAGCAGATGATGTGTGTATATATTTTTTAACTTTCTAACATGTTTCCTCTTTCACCAATAAACCTTTCATGCACAGAGTATGCAGTAAGAACCAACACAGGGGAAACCTTAACCACCGTTCTGCCATTTAAAGAAAATAAATAAATCTGTTTATACGAAAAATAACAAAAACTAAAACCATCGACAAAATGTGAAGAAATAAGTGACTTCATGTCCAAGACAACTGAGTATCGTACCAAAGAGATATCAGCTGCACTAGGACTAGGCTGTACTTTCACGTAGTACCAAATTGTACTACAACAAGGTGCATCAGTTCAAGATAACCTTTATTTAACTACGTAAGTCGTTACGAACATGTTCTTAAAAGTAAATCCCAGAGAACAACATGCATCCAAAAATTCCTACAAAATCTGTTTGTGCACATGCTGCATCGTGGTGGTGAAAGCCAGTGACTTGGTCACCAGAGTGAAAATGGGACGGCGACGTCTTCGTGACTAAGAAAAAACGGAGCCGCAGCTGGAATAACTCTGATAAATTGGCCAAGTTTTGCATGTTAACAGAGGGATTTATAAATGCAGAGAGATTGGTTGCAACACTTGGTCTACACTGATGAGCGCAATTTGTCTGCAAGTTGACTCAACTGGTTGCCAGCTGGTTGTATGCTGGTCATGTAAGAGAAGGTTGCTGCGTTGTCTGTCATTTCGGAGTAAATCACCGTCCTCCAACAACTTCGTCTATGTTTAGGATGAATTGCTGTTTCAGGTCTGTGAGGTTTTGGCTGGATTTATGCAAGTACTTAGTATGATTTTCTGGGTATCTAGACAGCAACAGATTTGGGATTTTCACCGATTTGTCACAGTTAAGAGCCGCATTATCACAAACAGATTATAGCTTGAATCCATTTAAGTGCAAACTGATAAGAAACTCGCAGCAGACTGACTCGGTCTTATTGGGATTGCATCGTCTTATTGTCACTTTGAAGATGGCAACTTACTGTGAGCGGCCCCGGACTTGGTCCCTGCCTTTGAAGCGACCATTTCATCGCAAGTTCATTGCACATGGTTGCAATATATTCAACCACTGTTTTCCCTAGTGTGACTGCAGAATTAGAGATGCGATGAAGGATTTTATTAACTGCCCTCTGAACTCTCCCAGACTTTGCAATTACTCACAGGCAGTTGCAATTCCAACACGACAGCATCAGCAGCTTGGATTAGCTCCGTGCATTTCAGATCTGCATTCGCTTTAATATTTGATGAGCGCTTTAATCTAACCACAAACAAAACAACCAGCGTCTGTAATCCTGAGTAAGTGATGTCTTTTTCTTCTCTTTTAGTTAGTTTTGTTCAGATGCATCATTAAAATGTTTTAAAGAGCTTAAATCAAACTTGGCCTCATCTGTAGAAAACCTGGCATCAGTTCGGCCGCTAAAAAGTCGACGCAGAAATTGGACTAAGGCTGCTGTTTGGTCATTCATTTGAAATGTGAGCTCTCAGGGATATTTAGCAAAAACTTTACTCTGTTCTAAAATCATCACTATCAACACACCTCCTCCAGCCCCACTGAGGCCAACTTAGCTAAACAACACACTGTTCTTTGTCTGTCGGGCCTTACATCTGTCTTCATAATGGAAAACTATAGTGTTGGTCTGCAGAATTACATTCAGCAACAGAAGAACAATAAACTTAATCAGAGTTGGGTTCATTTTTCTTCTTTCGGTCCGTCTCTCGTGCGCACACGGTTGTTTAGATCGAGGTCTGACATGTTCAAACATGGGATTTTAGGAGTGGGACTGTGTATATTATGAATTTACAGTAAATGCGGTCTATATAACAAAGGCGGTTAAACAAACACGTAATCATGCAGCTTGTGGTTTCTCACTTTGTCCTCTTGGCACAGTGTATCAAGTTTTCTACAGTAACGCTCCTTTTGTGGAAGACCGAGTGTTTAGCCTTGGCCTGAGCTGCCATCAAGGCACAGAGCCACCTAATGTTGCAAAGAGCGAATCAAAAAGCGGCGTAGAAAAAGAATGAAGATATGAAATGTGAGAGGGAAGGAAAATAAATGTAAGAATATGAAAGAAATGTGGGTTTGCCAGGGGAAGAATTATGCCAAGTTTATCAGTTTGGATCACTGAAGCAGAGAAGGCTGGCTCAGCCCAACTAATTCAGGCAATGTATTCACTGTATTTGCTCAAATTAAATTCTGAGCGTGAGGATCTCATGCAGCTCAGAGGTTAAGATGCAGCGAGCTACAATGTTCCTGTTATTTCTCTGCCGTGTTCGTGTTTTTTTTTTTTTTTTTTTTTTTTTTTTTTTTTAATATAAAGGCTTAAAATGATCCAAAGTGTTACCTATAAATCAGTAAAAACATGGAGACAAGCGTAAATTCTTTCCCTTAAAATCATCAGCAAAGTGACCTTTGAGCTACTTTAAAATTATTATTTTTTCGCTACCTGGGGGACAATAAAATTTGATGTTACAACTTAGCACCGCTGAAATACAGTCGAGTTGCCAAATGAGGTTGTCATTGCAACCCCCGTGAGTTAGCTGATGTGCAAGAGGCTGTTTGAAGCAAGTCTTTTTAGACCTCGTGATCTAGTATTTATTGTAAATAAGCGCTCAAGGTACTTTTTACTTTAGTGTGGATCAAGTTACATCTGTAATGACTTTAAAAAACAAGAACTGGGTGCTCAAATTTGAATGTATTTTGTATTTTCTCTAATCCACACGGGGTCAAAAGTATATTTAGTTGATGCCCTTTAGCAAGTTGCACCTCCACCAGGTGCTTTTGTTATCTGTCAACAAGCTTCCACAATAATTCTGACAGGATATGTGACCAATCTTCTTGGTAGAGTTGGTATAATGTTCATTTAAATTGGTTTCCTGCCACGGTCTCAGCTATTAAATGCACTTTCAATATCGATGTGGACAGGGATTAGGAAAGGCCATTCCAGAAGTATAATGTTCACCCGTTTTGATATGTGTTTGGGATCATTTACTGTTAGAACAACCATGTCCAACATCTAGCTGTTGCTTTGAGGTGAAGTTGAAGAATTTGGCAGTATTCCTCCCCCATTATTATTCCAGCCACATCGTGCTATTGCTGCTGCCATTAAACAGCCCAGAACATGATGCTACCACCACCATGCTTGACAGGTGGTACACTGTTTTTAGGTTTGAAAGCCTCACCTTTACTCCTCCAAACATACCTCTCGTCTTTGTGGCAAAATACCTCAATCTTTGTCTCTAATTTCATGTCAGATTTCCAGTTCATGGCAGGCTTGAGCTTTGGTGGTTCCTGGGTTGTTTCAAAATATTTAACCTATTTTCTGTCATCTGAGGGTAAGGTAACAGTTTGACGGGGTCTGGAACAAGACCCAACGTTTTTTAAAGTCATTAAAGGTGTATGCTGTACATTCAGTCCACCCTGGAAAAATAAAAGTTCAAAGAAATAATTAAAAGCCCCAAATTACCACGGCATTCATGCCCATGATGAATAGGTTTAAATTTGGTGACATCTTACTTACCTTGTACCCTAGATTGTCAAACAGCTGAAAATGTCTCAAAAGATGGGTCATTTCTAAGATGGATAATGTCACTGTAACTTCACCCACTGGTTTGTGGCACCTGAAGCTGAACTGTTTTGGGGGGGTCAACAGCACCGACAGCATCTAGACTTTTGTATAGTGGGTCTGTGGTACTCTGCAATTTCACCAGCATGCAGTAGATGGCAGTGCATTTGTAAATGCATACTTTCTTGGAATTGGAGTTGTGGTTACATTTAAATGAAGTTACACACTAGGTTATGGTGTGTGCTTTCAAGGGATTTTAAGCAGCCTGGGAGGAAAAAGAAACCTCAGGTTTTACAACACAGCCCGAGACACAATTTCTTTTGCACTATTTTTGGATGCTTATTCACCTCTTACTCACATAGCATCCATTTGATTCTTCACATGTACTTTCTGTATAATTGAAACACACAAAAACTTTGTTTTGGGTTTGATCCGAACACATCGTTATACTTGTAGTGTCACTCTTTGTCAGTGTGTATAACCAATTTATCCTTCCTGTGTAAAACCCCCTTTTTTACTGTTTCTTCCTGCTGCCACTTGAGTCTGACGTGTGGAGCAATAATTCAAACCAAGTTTGAAAGCAGAAGAGATGAAAATCAGCAACTGTCAACAAAAACCCCTCAGGCATGTAGCTGCTGCTCTTCACAACAGCTTATTATAAAAGATCGGTTTAAGATTGACTCGCTGCCTGTGGGTAACTTTGTCAAGCATAGTGACTCCTGAAGGACACATTGGCCTCAGATGGGCCCAAAGTAGAATTTCTTTCTTTTCTGGGTTGGGCTAAACAGGGACTTAGAGGAACATGAAGGAACTAGAGGTACATAAAAGGGGTGAGAAGGAGAAAGGACTGAAACTGGTTAAAGAAAGCTGTAGTCTGCTCTGCTTGGTTGGGCAGGATGAGGTTTTAAATTAAATGAATCACTCATTGTCTGGGAACAAAAAAGGTTTGCACACAGAAAACAGACCTTGAGGCTGTATGAAGTGCAAACTCTGGTGTCTGCGGTCCTACGAGATGTTAATTTTATCGCTCTCACCTGCAACAAAGGGATTTCCCCAGGCTATGTTTAGTTCAAGGTTGCCTAGTTAGGTGGAAGTCATTTTTGGTTGACTCGGTATTTGTTGTGTTGAAATTTAAAAAAACAAAAACCAAAACCTCGATCTGCTTTTGTTTTTCATGTGTCAGCTTAAGTTTATTTTGCAAAACAAGCCAAAACAACAACATCCTCACTGCCACAATGTTTTCGTTAGACTTGGTTTTGCCTTGTTTTCATTTTTTTTGTTGGTGCTCAGATTTCTTTGATCTTTTTCTCATTTGTCAAATTCACATCTTCACGCGAGCATTTATGAATGAAAGACAGTCCTGTCACATGTGTTTCTCTGAACAGATGATTAAAGAAGCAGCGCTGGGATGTTTGTGTGGGTGGAAGAAAGATGTAAAAGCTGCTTGTGTTGGGCTTTTTTGTTTTGGTCAGAGGATGAAGTTGTTTACATTAAAGTGGACCTGTTAAGCTTTTCAATATTATCTGTTTGTTAAATATTTATATTTCATCTAAAAAAATATAATATGATATAATTCACATACAGCTGCAGTTGTGAATGTTAATGATGAGGTCAGTGTATTTAGAAATAATCCCTGGGAGCTAGAAGATCAGGCTTCAAGCCCCTTTAAACACAACGTCTCCATCAAATGTTTTTCTATTTTTAACTCTGCATGATGTTGGTATAGTGATCTCACAGAAGCCCCACCCACCTGCTCTGGAATACTTCTGTTTGCTAGGGACAGCCAATCAGACGAAAGGTGGCTTAAAGGGAGAAGAGCTAAAACAGCCTCTTTCAGTAAGGGTAAGCTGAGGTTGTGCACCAAAGCTTAGGCTTTATTTGAACTGAGAATCCTACAATGCTGCTGTAGTAGGGACTCAGGATAAGAATCTGAATGTAATGATGAATATTGTTATGCTTTAGTCCAAAAAACAGTAATTCAGGGTTCTTGTAGACGTCTGAATTTTGAGACTGCACGGACTACAACTAAACTAAACAACTACTTGGCTGTCAGATCTCCAGCTCTGCATGTCTTTTCCATAACACAGTAAAATGTAGGCTTAAAGCATCAAGGATGTTACAGATAAACAAAAAAATATAATGTAAACAGTGATTTCGGTGCTTATTGGGGTGTGGGTCATAGGGGCGCCAGTTAAAGCAGAGATTTCCAGATTGTCCTGGAGGGGTGCATAAGCTATCCCTTAGTCAGTTGAGGGATCTTCTCCAGCATGTCCAGGCCCTGCTGAGGTGTAGGACGCATCCCAGTCAGATGCCCAAACCACCTCATCTGCAACCTTTCACCAGCTGTACTCGAATTCCTGCCAAATGACTGAGCTTCTCACCGCAGACACCTTCCCAAGGACGATGATTTCTGCCGCTTGTATCCACAACCTCATTAAGAATACTGGGGAGGTTGTCAGATGTTGTCTTTATGGGGGAAAGAGTTAAAGCTTCAGGGCTCCATACAGACCACTAACATGTGTCAAAATAGCGACTCTTTAATCTGATTTTCATGCTGGGGTAGGCGACGAAGCCACATCTAAGGAGTCGGGCGAGCTGTGAGTGGAGATTCTCATAGTGTGGCCCCAAGAAATCTAGTTTTCATCGAGCCATTTGCAGCCAGTTCAGCCCATTTCTCTGACTCCTCAGGGCGTTGCTGCCTCACGTCATCACAGATCACAGCGTGCATACAAAAACAGCATTTTCCTGCAACGGTTTTAATTGAGCGAGCGTCGTGAGCTGATGGTGGTTCGCTCCTTTCAGATGCAGATAGTGACTGGCATGTGAGGTCATTTCAACGTTTAATTTGTAAGAAGACGAATGGCTTATGCCATCTGTTGAAAATCATCTGTCGCTAATATGCAGCAGATTAAATGTCCTCGGAGCGTTGCGCAATTAATCGCCGGATGTCGTGGACGGCTTCCATTTCTCTGACCCCCCCCCCCCCCCCCCCCCCCCCCCCCCCGAGATTTAACCCCCCCCCACCCAACCCACCACCAGCACCACTGGAAGTAGATTTGATTTGTGTTAGCAGAGTCGTGTTGTTGATCAGTCACTTGTTTGCTCTGTGTTTTCATGTTGCTGTGCTCTGCCAGTTGCCCTGGCTCCGTTTAATAAAACTGAATCAACTGTGCCGAGATAGAGGGCCAGGCCTAAGCGAAGGTTTCTGCTTTCTGTCACTCTCTCTGGTTTTCCATGACGAGGTGATCAAAGAATGACTTGAAGTCATCCACTTTTGTTCTGCTTTTCTGTCTCTGTTTTCAGGAGGCTGCTGGGAATCATCACCAAAAAGGACATACTTAAACACATGGCGCAGATGGCCAACAGGGACCCGGACTCCATCCTCTTCAACTGATCTTCTCCGTCCTTCCTCTTCATCCTCGCCCACCAAATCGCCCCTCTGTAGAGTGGGGTGAAGGGGGGGGGGGGGGGGTACACCAGCTTGTAGACTTACATGAAATGCACCTTTACCTCTTTGGCGAGAGAGAGCCAAGGAAGCTTGAGCTTCATTTGCACAGCTGACCAGAGAACAAAGGAATTTATTTTCTGTGTAACTTGAAGGCAACTTTGGCTCTTCGAATGACGACACACACCACTGAAAAAATTTCAAGAAAACAACAAGCTGTCAGAAACAGTGACTCGTCCTTTTACTGACAGTGCTGGACCCGATATCATGAGGGAAGTAGGACAGAAGTAAGTCGATGGAATATTTCACATCTGCACCTTCCAACATTTTCTGTTCTCATTTCCTTCCTCATTTTCAAACCAGTGAGGAAACCTTCAGAGAACCCCAAAGGCCACTTCTCTCTCCTCTGTTTGCCATCTCGATTCTCACACCTGGGAGGAAGGGGGGGGAGGCAGGAACAGCTAATCCTCTGTTATAGGTGCTGACAAGAGGAGACGGGGTGGAGGAGGAGAAAATGAAGACATTGGGGAAGATGAAGAGCTGTTTTGGGAGCTCCGTGCCTGCCTCCGGGCCATCACAGCGAGCCCAGACAGAGCACTTTGAGCTGGGCTGATGGATGTGCAGACACCTCCCTCCCTCTGTGAGGTTTCCTGTAGCCGTGAGGGTGAAGGATCCAGGAGTGTGAGAACAGGATCGACTACACACACACACACACAAGCAAGCGTACACTCCACAAAGACTTTCACGTCAGCCTGGGAACCCACTAGAAACATCTTTTCTTTTTCTTTTCTTTTTCGTTCTATGTTTGAGTTTTGTGATACAGCTCCAGCCTGGGAACTATGCAGCGCTGTCCTGCCATGCAGACAGTTTTGTTATGTTAACGGCGTATATAGTCATCGGAAACCATGTCATTCCTTATAGAAGGTGAGGAGCATTTCCAGGCTGTTGTGGAAGGGTTAAAAGAAAATCATGATGTGAATTAATTTATGTAAATGTAAAATTGTTCACTCTACTAAATTATTCCCCTGATTAAAGTTGTTTTGTCTTCTTTGTTTTAGCTCCTCATCACTTCGACTGATGTCTTGTTTGCATTTCGTGCTCACCTGATCTTTATTTCATTTATTTATATATTTTTTAAGCTCCGATTCGAGCAAATCTCTCACTGAAACGTGTTTTTGTTTTCGTCGGTGTTCAGAACACGAATTTTAGTTCTCTGAATTTACTTTTTTTTTTCCCAGTTTTTCCTAAAAAGCCAAACTGAAACTGATCCAGTGGAAAATGTCAGCTGCAGCTAATCAAAGAATCTTGATCAAAAATGAGAAACAGCTGCTGCTCTGGTCCTCTGAAATATAAGATTTTTCTTTTTTTTTTCTTCTGTCAGGCAATAGTGAGGTGAATCTTTGTTCTATTCAAAGACGTCATGTAGGCACAATTTTTCCGATGACTAACCACGCAAACAATTTTCAAATGAACGGAAAATGATAATTGTTCAAATTTTAGTTTAATCAGGTTTGAAGCTGAATTTAGGCATTAACACGGTGATGTCAAAGTATATTACTCTGTAAATGAATCTGCATGCCATTAAACCCACCTCAACATTTTAAAATAATTGTGTTAATTTATAAAATGTTCTCACAGGATTAAATGCATCCCATGGCCCTCTCTTCTTTATTTTAGGGTTTTGTTTTGGGTTTGTTTATCAGCATTTTAACCAGGTCTGGACTTGGACATGACCATTGCAGCACCTTGATCCTTTCCTTTTTCAGCCATTCTGTTGTAGATTTGCTGCTGTGACTGGGATCATCGTCCTGTCGGATGACCTGATTTCAACCAAGCTTCAGCTGTCAGACAGATGGTCTCACATTTGACAGGTTCTGCGAAATGAGGCCAAATCACCAGCCCTCCACCAGCGTGCCTGACGGCTGATGTGCTGTGTTTCGTTTTTGCCAAACCTGTTGCCGTTCATTACGGTTAAACGTCTCCACTCCACAAACGCCTCATCTGGCCAAATCACATTGTTCCAGAAGTGTTGTGGTTTATTCAGATTTATTATTTCTCCTGCCAACCTTTCCAAACAAGTCATATTTGTTCAGGCATTTTCTAATTTGACAATCATGAACTAACTGAGGCCTGTGGAGTCTGGCTCTTTGTTCTTTTACATTTTCTCAGAGCATTTCACAGTGAAGGATCTCAGGAGTGAGTTTGCTGAATGTTCACTCCTAAGAAGATCGCTGCTTTGTGTTAACACATGGCTGAATGCCCCTTATTGCTGATCAGTTAATCGAGTATATTTGATTAGCAGGCTGGCTGCTACGTACCAGTCATAGTACGGATTTCCCCCAACCCAGTTTATTTCTCCAAACTTATTCTTTTTTTATTTTGCTTAGCACAAAATTACAGAAAGGAAACAACGGCTAACAGAAACCATTTTATGAGCTAACTGGTGTTTATTTCAAGTGTCTCATGTCATATTACATTAATTACAGGTTCATTCATTTCTTTCTTTGTTTTGAATTTTTGGCAGCTTTGGTCCTCCATACGAGTCTGAATGGAGAGGGGGAAGCAGCTCATATTATCTCAGACGTTATATCACCATCCAGAGAATAATATTATTCTGGGCTATTTTTAACTCTTTAGAAATTCAGCGGGTCAGTTTGAACTTCATGTGCTACCCTGTAAATGTTGGCGGCCCGGGACTCGTAAAGTTTCACCTCCTCTCTGAGCGCTTTGTTTAGATGGTGAATTGATTTTCTTTTTTCTCACAGGCTGCTCTCTGCAGCCAGTAAAAACACAAAGTAATGGTGAAAGTTTAGAGAAACCATCATGTGTCCTGGGAACAAGCACCTGCTAGAAATCCTGTACGTTATGTTGACTTAATGGGACTTTAAAATGGAACGAACCCTGTGAGCTAGCGAGGTCCTGTTTATTGAGCCTTCAGAAATGCAAAGACAGAGATGCATAAAAATGTAATGTTAAAAAAAAACACACTGGGTGAACATCTTAGAATTCATTTGGGATTTTTTCCAGTCCACACAGGATCGTACAAATGTACATACATATAGATACAGGATCTAAAGTGTGTGTTTAACTATGACAATGCCTATTAAAATTCAGTTGTATTTATATAGAGCCAAATCTTAGCAATGGTCACCTCAATGAACTTAACATACAACTGGTAGTTCTTTGTCAGCATGAAAGGGATTTGTTTGACAGCAGTCACTGACCAACATTCAGAACAGTGGAAAAGTCCAAAGAACTCGGGACGATCTAAGCTGGAGAAAGGTAGATTTACATAAAATAGGAAGATCTCCGGAGACACCCTCAAGGCTGGAACGCCAGCATCGCTGTCCACAGAGAATCGGCACGTTCCAGCTTGACTGAAATTTGCAGCTGCCCACATGGAGAAGCCAAATGCTTTCTGGAGAAACGTTTTCTCAGTCGAGACAAAGATGCAGTCTTTTGATGCTGTGTGGATCATAGAAAATCCAAAAAAACTTCAAGCTTTTGCACCCAATTCTTGTTTGTTAAAGGCAATGGGAAAAAGAACAGTTCAAATCAATCTTTAAATGCCCAAAATTACCATGATTTTCATGCCCGTGATGAATGTACAGCTGTAACCTACAGAATGCTTCTCCTGCTCTCACCTGCATCCACCAGAAGGATCTGGGAGGATGATTTACTCATCACTGTCCAGTTTTATGAGCAGCATAACTGCAGGGAGTGGTGAGCTCTGAGATCCCTTCATCACTCCTTGTATATCAGAGTCTGCAGCTCATCGAATCGCTCTCAGCACATTTATATAAGTGTTTAAAACTAGTTAAATGAATGCTTTTGTTATATACAGGTATGAGATGAGTGTCTCATTACCACTGTATTTTGGTTGGCCCACTGCTGCAGCAGCTTTATTGATTGTGATTGACCATTTCCTTTTAAACATCATTACCCTAAACAAGATCATCGCCATGATGATGATGATGATGGTGATTTAAACTCTAAAATCAGCCTGATTGAAACATAAAAGCACCAGCGTTCATCTACGTCACGTCCCACCTGACTCTGGCGTGGTACATCCCCTGCCAGTATTTGGACGGATCTGTATCGATGCATCTGTTTCCAATTGAGCTGTAAGAGAAACTTGCTGCTTGCTTGCTTTTGGATTTCTTTTTATGAGCTGGTGCCAGAGAGACGGCAGGTTCGAAGCTCCTACCATTTCAGTTAATTCAACATGCTGGTCACTGATAATGAGCTTCGATTTGCCTGCAAAGTAGAGTGCAGAATAGACACATACAGGGGATCACACCAGAGAAACGGGCATTTAATGACCAGAAAATGAACTGTAGACTTTAGTTCTAAGCACGGAGACCTCGTTACTGATTATTTCATGGCTTAGATGCAAAAAGTGACTCATTTTGGACAATACACGAGTCCCTTAGAGTAATTATGCATTACCTTTCTAAAGGATTTTGGCTAATACATGGTTGTAGCTTGGTTTACCTCTGTGTATATAAGCTGGTGTGGATGATTGATGTTGGAGGCATATATAGTGTTGGATGGTAACTGAGTAGGAAAGCCGCATTAATTTAAATCAATATTTATTCATTTGAGCCACATTTCACATCACGTGGAAGCACTTTCAACTTCTCCTGTCTTATAAATGATGTGAAGTGGGTAGGGAGAGGTCTATGGTGTCGACACAAGACCCAAAACATGATAATTTCAGGAGACTGGCTGGTTATTGATCGGCGGACAGAAAAGCTTGTGCAACAAGCTGACAGGTTAGACAATGGTTTAAGATAAATTGATCATTTTTACTGTACTATTAACAAAGTGCCTGACTTTTTTTCAGAATACTCCATCCTGGCTGTGCTTTCTTTGGTCACAAATAGAAACTGACTGACATACATCTCACTCAGTCATAACTGTGGAGGACCAAAACTGCCAACGATTTGATGAGGTCCCAGTAGGCAAAAGAGCGAATTACTGCGGCCGTGTGCAATGAACATGCGATCATGTTTTCTTTGACATCACAAGCGCTGAAGCTTGAGACCAGGTCTGCAACAGCTTCATTCGTATTGTCTTCAAAGTGACTTTGGTGCTAAAATGACAATAAGATGGATTCAGTCTGCCATCAATTTAGAACTAAATCAAGTTTTGATACTATGGTGATAAACAGCGATAAATCACTGAAAATACCACATCTGTTGAAACTCTATTGACATGCACATTTTAAACATCTAAGCATTTTTACTTTAAATGCAAATTTGCATTAACTATTTACAATCAGTCCAGACACAACCTCATAGATTTGAAAGAGAAATGTAGAAATTTCTCCTCAAAATACTCACATAGGTCCTGGAGAACAGTGATTTAAAATTGCATGGGTGCGGTGCCGCTTTGGTTTCACTGCTGGCAATTGATTGAAAAATGCAAATATAACTAATGCAATCAGTAATTATAAATCAAGCAGTAATTGATAAAAAAATATGATGGAAGATAAAATACAGTACTGTGCAAAAGTTTTAGGCAGGTGAGGAAAAAATGCTGTAAACAAAGAAAAACAAAGAATGCTTTCAGAAATATAAAAGATTGTTTATTGGCCCCAAATGTATTCTGCAGCAGGATAATGACCCCAAACATACAAAGTCATTAAGAACTATTGTCAGTGTAAAGAAGAACAAGAAGTACTGGAAGTGACGGTATGGCCCCCACAGAGCCCTGATCTCAGCATCATGGAGTGTGTCTGGGGTTACATGAAGAGACCGAAGATCTGTGGTTAGTTCTCCAAGATGTTTGGGACAACCTACCAGCCAAGTTCCTTCAAAAACTGTGTGCAAGTGTACCTGGAAGGATTGATGCTGCTTTAAAGGCAAAGGCTGGTCACACCAAATTCTGAATTGATTCAGATTTCACTTTTGTTCTTTCACTGCATTTTGTTGAATGATGAGAATAAATGATTATCACTTCCATTTTTCAAAGGATTCTTTGTTTACAGCATCTTTTTTTCCTCACCTGCCAAAAACTTTTGCACAGTACTGTAAATACTTTTTTAAAAACCAAGTTCTGTGTTTATTTGGTGATTTCAGTCCTTCATAATATGTACTGAGGCATTTAACCTTTATTTTTATGACAGGTCAGTAGAGTGCGCAGGAAAAGAGGGCGAGGATATGACCCCAGCAGGAGCTACAGCAACTCCACCTTCTTTTTAGTGGTCAGCAGGGGGCGATGTCTGTAATTTTAAAAACACTTGCGTTTCTTACAGAAGCCTACGGGAAAACTGGCTTCTGGCTTGATTGCTAAGTACATAAAGTAATAATTAAAGTGTTCTTAGTCACGTGTCTTATTTGATATCTAAAAACTAAGTAAATTTTGTTCATTTTGGTCATTGATAGAGTATGAAAGTAAGAATGGTGTTTCGTCAGAAAGGGCATAATACTTGGCCAAATCTGAAACTCTGTGACAAGAGAGCTGCGCTGATAAGGTAAAAAAAAAAAAAAGGCCTTATCCAGCAAATCTGTCAACCACAGGTTGTTATCCAGTGAGATTACATCCATCTCACTTAGATCCTCGTCACATCCATTTTTTAAAAATGGTCAACCTGAGGACTCGTTACGAGACTTCGCCAATGGTTCGGTCATACTAGAGTAAGAAATGCAGACCATCCTCTTTGTTACAAGGAAAAATTAGGAGTTGCCTCGTGACGCCCTCAACCTCTGGACCGCCACTTTTGATCGCAAGACAATTTTATAGGTCACCTGGTGGGAGTATGTCTGTGAAGGTTCTCAGTCATCCAGGTCATCGTAGTCTAAGGAGCTTGGAAAGAAAAGCGTCTGGACTTCTTTGAGTTGCTTGAAGACGTTTCACCTCTCATCCGAGAAGCTTCTTCAGTTCTAAGGGTGGGAGGCAACCTGTCTCCAGTCAATCACAATTAAAATGCCTGCGATCACTGTTTTTCCACCAGTGGGTGAGGTCACAGTGACTACATCCATCTTTTATACGAGTGATGTTGATCTCATTTTACTTCGAGGGTCATACTCGGGCAACTTTGCTATGAAATGGGCTGGATGAGTAAAGATAATCTTTCTGTTAGCGTAACGTTGTTTAACTACACATTTAATCCCTGAGATTAAGTCTTAATGTCAGATTTTAAGAACTGCCGTTTCAACAGATTTGTCAGGCCATTTCTCGTTCCTGAGCCTTATGTTTGACACCCCTGTTTTAAACTGTCGTAAGACTGAGAGCTAATCATCTTGGTCACTTTCTTACTCTGTCTAATATTTATATTTAGAGTTCTTTTACATGTTTTTCCTTACACACTGGAAAAGTGCATGCCAAAGCTTAAGCGAGCAAACACTTTAACTGCTAGGCAACAGTTTGCATTTAAACAAAATAACGCCGTCGTGGGTACTTAAGCAAATAACTCCACCTTTGACTCGAAAAGGTATAATTACCTGCAGGCGTGACTTTACTGACATTGTTATGTATGATGCCTCTGCCCCCAGAGGTCACCGTCCACTTTAGGCGCCACTTGCTTAGACGACCTCGTTGGCCCTCGGGTGTCAAAGGTGTCATGTGGTCACTCTTGACTCAGCGTCTTCGAAGTTGAGTCAGAGCTCGTTTGTGGCCACATAATCTCTGTGAGAAGGAAGTCAGAGGCATGAAGATGGAGGGGAAGCATTTGTTTATGCGTGCGTAGGCGTCTGCATATGGATTCACTTTTTGCACATGAGTGGTTAGCATCTGTGTGTGTGTGTGTGTGTGTATGCGGGTGTGGGTGTGTGTGTTGGGGAATGTGAGTGTATTGTAGCCAGCTAGAAATGACTCAGTGTATTCTTGAGTTCAGTTCCTGCGGCTGAGCCTTCACATGGGGCTCGGGTTACCTGCCTGCTCATGACTTCTACACTCTCACACCTGAAAAACGCTCACGTACACATTCGCACACACAGGTTATACGTTATACTTTTATATTGT